GTATCCTCGCTATATGCCGTCTATAAAAATGAAACGTAATCGATCCCGCGTCTCGCGATGTCTCTATGCCTATGCAGAATTACGAGTTACGTGATCCTGTAAGAAACGGCCGTCGTCAATTATTGCAATGTGCAGACGTATAGCTAAACTGAGACTGAAATAGCCCGTGTTATTCTACGACTGGGTAGCGTAATCGAAGGATGGATATAACGGAGAAACAATAGATCGGAATGCAGTATCAATCACTGATTTGCGCATACTTGAGAATACAACGAACATGAAATTGTCCTAAAATCAAAATCGAAAATTAAATCTAACAAAAATATAGACCACGTGTTAACAGCGTTTGAAATGCTCGTACGTTGTAATAATAAATAATTAAAGTTAATATTACGTAACAATAAAAGGCTGTATAACAAAACGCCATCAGAACGTTTTTTAAGTGTCTGTCTAACGATAAGATAACTTTGTTGCCTCTATAAATACGGGTATTCAAAGAGTGTAGTTAACTTTTACCGCGCGAAGATGATTTGAAACTTCCTCGGGTTTACACGTGACTCATGTCCGGAGGAGTACGCGTGACTTTGAAATATTAATCGATGACCTAAAACAATGCTAGTAACGCTACTTTCAATTACTTTCACGACAAGCGCTTTCCTTTTCATAACGGAAACAATGACGAACTTGTTTTATGGACGTGCCATTATACTCACTATCTCTTGTATCAAAATAGCGTAATGATGACGGAGCAGCACGTCCCGAAAGTGCATAAAGTCCGCTTTGACAACAAATATCACGTTCCCTTAAATTAATTTTCCCTTGAAGAAAAGTTGACTTCGCGCGAGGTGCCACGGTCTCTTTTCGCAATTTTTCATATTAAGTTAAAAATTACGCCAAGATAAACTAGGGAAACGAATGTATTTCTAGCTTCACGTGAAAATATGAAAATAATTACAGTACAGAGGTACACACCGCAGCGACGATTCTTAATAAACTCAGCTGTGTCAAACGTGAATCCCTTTTAAAAGTTCCGAGGTTCTCAATGTTTACTTAATTTTATGAAAGCTCTCGTTTATCAACGTTACGAGGGCTCATCTATATTATTTATTATCCCGTGACGTCGGGCTCGAGCTCTCTTTTCCTCAGGAAAACTCATCTTTTTGGAGAAACGCGACACCTGAACGACATCTCCGCGCATGGGGGGAAAAGTGGGCGAATACGCGTTAATGAGGACATCCGAGTGACACGAATTGTTAGAGCGTGCAATTACAATTCATGACTCGTATTTGCTTTCAAAGTTGAGATCAATATCGTTTCGACCTCTCACTCTACAACGGAAATAAAGCGAGCTCTCTCGAAAGCGCAATATATCCAAAAATAAAGTCAACTACAACGCACAAATAATACTGCAATCAACCTCTAATTAACCCCTTTCAAAAGTTAATTAAGAAATAGCTCTTTCTCTCTGTCATGCTGTTACATTTGTTGGATATCAACATGCAATTAATTATATTTTCTCATGAATAATACAAGAAAGTAACTTTTAAACACCGATTTGTAATAAAACGATGTTTATGTCGCGTAGTGTATTATTGTTTCTAGCAATCGATTATTTTCATAAAAAAATTTGTTGTATTAGGATCACGATGCTACTGAGGGAAGTAACTTTTAAGCGCCGATTTATAATAAAATTATATTTATACCGTGCAACACATTTATTGTCTCTAATAATCTATTATTCTCGCAAGCTTTGGTTAAGATCATAACGCGATTGACAAGACAGACGCCGCGGCCGATTTGTGCAATCGCAGCAGGTGCCATCTTCGTCATGCCCTAGTTACGGGGACCTGTTTGGGACCCGTCTCCTCGCGTGCGTACACACCGTGCGCGCCGAATAACGAATGAATCATGCCGCGTACGCGAAGCGGCGGCAGTTCACTTTCTCCCCTCGGTTTCGTCCTCAATTATCCCGGAGCGGGGGGTTGGGGGGGGAGGGCCCGTGTAATTACACGGGTGAGATGGCTCGCTGGGCCGCGGGCGGCCAAGTGAATCGCGGATAACGATTTTCTTTTTCGGGGAGGCCCGGGGACCCCTTTCACTCGACCCGCTGGCGCGAGACCCGGTTTCCTTCCAGTCCAAGAAGGCAGCGTTATTTCCACGTTACACGAATGTTATCAAACTATCAAACATAGCCCTGAATATGTATGACGCACTGTACGCAATCGATGTGTTGTAGGAGAAATAAAAAAAAAGATTAGATAACAGATTCTCTAATTCCCCATACAAGAGTCACCCTCGCTAATAATTAAGGTTGAAATTCAATTGAAATAAGTCGTTCGTATTTACAACTTTCTAATAACTCTCCTTTTTCCCTTGCTACTGGATACGTAAGAATGTTATTTATATATCCATAAAAATGTGTGCCATCCACATCAACTGATACGACCGCTGAAGGATCTCAGGTGGCGACAAAGCGCTGCGAAGTACAAGTGAAAAACGAACGGTGCAGCGCGAAGGTACGGGGACCCCACGGTGCAAGCAACTGGTCTCCGATGTTTTGCAATCCGACGAACGTAAATCGCGAGACACAACAAAGTGGAGGAGACACCTGTAGGCGACACGCAAGTGACATGGGCACAATGGGCACACTTAGGCCAATTATGGCGCAATCGTAGTCACGTTACTTCTGGGAAGTCGTGACAACGATGCCGCCGAGAGAGATCCCCGCTGATACACAATGTGCATAAATTTGTTTCCGGGGAACTCCGGGCTCCCACACCGCCGCGGGCTTTGCCAAATATGTCTATATAAATCATCGTGCCGCGCACTTTCGCGCACTCGTATCCAGCCCGATTCAGCCGATCGCGCGCAACAATGCGCGGGCCCCGCCGTGTTACGCGCGTGCACGTTCAAAGGCAAACAAATTTGCATGCAACCTTATACGAGAGGTACCCCGTTAACCGTTAGGGGAAGAACCGCCTATTTTTACGAGCGAGCTTTAACCCCTTCGACCCGGCCACTAAATGCCAGACCATTAATATTAAACGTTCTTAGCTCAAGTTCGTTCTTAAGCCGCCGCGAATTATGGGCTATACGCGTGCTATAAAAATTTATAGGACGTTTTAACGTGCGCGTAAGTTCGCTCGTAAGAAGAGCCAATAAAAATTACCCGATATTACATTTTATGAATGATAAATTAAGAGATTGTCTCGAACGTTCGTCGCAGTTTTACATACAGTTGCCTCTTGAGATCTACCATAATTCTCTATCCGCGATATCGACGGATTACGTCCAAGATGTATCGATTTGAATATTATTTCTCCCGTGGAGGTGGGAAAGCGAGCTTCATAGATTTGAAATGAGAATTACGCATCCAAAAAGTAAATATGCTAAATGTTATACAGGTCTATTCAACGTGTTTCAATTTCTGACTAAATTTATCTGTAATTTCGACTATTTAATTCATCCCGATGATGTGCATTCGCGGTCGAATCTATTCGCCGAGATCCTCCCTCCATTTTCGGCTTCTCAAACGCGAACTGTGCTCCTTCGTCGCGCGGGAGGAAAATATCCCGACGGAGACAAGTGTACAAGACGCGTTCGACGACGGTGAAATACAGATATGCTTTCCGCGCGATTTCCGATAAGAGGGTGACTCCCTGTGCGAAACAAGAGAAAGAGGAGGAGGAAGAGGATAGTCCGGGGCCAAGAGGACCTGGGGGAGGGTGGAGACGGAGAGGATGACGAGCGGGAACATCCCGGTGGAGAAACGGCGAGGGGGAGCCGCGAAGGGGGGAAATGACTGGCAACGACGCATGCTGGTGTTGCGGTATCGGACAGTAAAAGTCCTGGAGAACAATGGATAAACGGAATGGTACTGCCGAGACCTTTCAGGCGATCGGGTAACCGGCAAAAATGCGCGCAACACAATGGATAGGATCACGCCCTCCGACGAGAGTCCTCTCTTTCTCTCTCTCCCTTTCTAACCGCGGCTCCGAACGTTCGTTTTCCACGGAGCGTAAACCCAAGCTCGATCGTCCACCCACCCATCCGACCGTGAAAGAGAAAGAGTCGAGAGAGATTAACGCTCGCTTGTCCGGCGATAATTAGATTTCTTTTTGGAAAAGACTGACTTGATTGTCAAAGAAGCGCTTATAAAATTTGGACGCACGAAAAAGGGGCCTACACATTTACACGGAATGTTACTGTGACTTTTCCGACCATTTTCTTGGAAAAATTAATCCTATCAAGACGCCAGTGTGGCCTATTTTGTTTATTAAAGATGCTTTTTAGTTCTACAACGAGAATATTTATTATATTTTCTTTCGTAGATATATATATTTTTTAATATCACTGAAGTTTGGTTTTCCTGAATAAAATTTTCCTAATCTCCTTGGAATCTTTAGTGAAAATATATTTATGACCTCAGTACGTAAGTGCACAATTATACGTAAAATTCACAGAGTATAAAAGTCGGATTTGTATTATTAATTTTTTTAAGTTCTCGAGCGCTAAATGAGACGCGTGGCGTCATCTGTCACAAGCGACGTGAAACCGTGACAACATACGTCGAATGCCGCGTAGATAAAACAGTCGCTCTTAATACCGACGACTATACGCGATTTTAGCAGAAATAAAAAAAAACATTGCAAATATAAATAGAAAAGACCATTCGATATTGATTTCTTGGACGCTGTTGTAATTAGACATGCACCGAACCATGGCGGTGCATTAAAACAATTATTTGGTCACCTTATCCAAGATTTTGAACGATGAGCAAAACAAATTCGATTCACGAAGAGATTTCTCTCCGAATTTTTTAGACTCCAATCATCCGAACACTCTGTTCTCACGGTATTAATATTTATCATCGTTATTGCCAAGCAGACGCATATCGTGTACTTGTCAGTTTTAACAAAATGACAGGAAATGCGCAAACAAATTTCGAGAGAAGAGACCCTCCGATAAAGTCGCTCGACAAATAAAATCTCTCCACTTACCTTGCAAGTTGTCCAACATGAATGACAGCAGCTTGTTCGTCCCCGCGGGCTCCCCGTTGCCGTACAACGTCATCACGTCCTTGTTGAGCGGATTCCCTTGAAGTCCGAGCACTTGTAACTGGAACAACTTTCCTAGTTCGTACGGTAACACGCGAAGGTAGTTTTGGTTCAATAACAACTCCCTGAAACAACACAATAATAGATTGATTACATGAGAGAAGAGGAGCCACCTATGCTTGTTATCAAAGCGAACGCCTCTCGGTTCACTTCCAGGTGTCCGTTCTGGCATACCTGAGGTAGATGAGCTCCCCCAGTTCAGCAGGCAGACTGCGCAGCTTGTTGCTACTGAGATCTAGAATACGCAGGTTGACAAGACGGCCGATCTCGGACGGCACCCTCTGCAGGCTGTTGTCATTCAAATACAACGCCGTCAGATGAGTCATTTGCCACAAATTTGGGCTCAGGTTCCTTATACTGCCTGTTATCTCCAACTCCGACCAATGAGATTTCTTCCCTGACTGATAGTCGTCGGGACACATGAGCGTATACATACGACGCGGGTTGGAGTTCTCATACTTGTCCTTGTGATTGCGGGACATGTTATAATATTCTACAAAGAGAACAGAAAAGATTCCTGTTAAAACTAGTACACCATGCATTTGTGATCTCTTGTAGTTCAAGCATCATTACAGCATATCTCTCAGACACTCCTTGTGCAACAGAAAGATGAACGAGTCTCTAAAGAGGCACAAGAAGTCTTACATAGCTACAGGCACACCTATTAAAACTTGAACGGTTAATAGACAATGATTCTCAAGCTTCTTGGCACTACTTATCAGATGTAAGTGTATGCAAGCTACGTTGCCTTTTCAATTGCTCCAAGGCAACGCGCGTATCTGAGAGACACACACACTAACAGAACTAACGTGAGATCACTACTCGTTACAAGTCAATGAGAACAACCAGGCTTGTGTCTTACGGGCGAAGGAAAAGAAAACACGGATGCGCGCGTGTGACTCTAACGCACGCCGGACGCGACGGGGTCTCTCAAGCTCGCAAAGTTAACGCGGGCGAACAATGCTGATCGCGAGACGACGGATTTCATCTGTTCCATACTAGCCAGGTACAAGCCCCATAACCTATGACGGCGAAACGAGGTTTTCGCGGGCCACGCCGGGCGGACGTGCCGGGGACGCGGCGATCTCGGCGCGGAACGCGACGCCGGACCGCCCGGGGTTGGCTCGACCGCCCGCGGACGCGAGATTCGCCAGGCGGTGGCGGGTATTTTCAGCGTCAACCACTGGTCCTGATCAGAGTGGGCCCGTACGCTCGCGAGGACGGGCCGACGCGTTCGGCCGATTTCCAGGCCGCGGACGCGGCGGCGGCCCCCGAGGGCGGCGTCCCGCACGCGCGACGCTCGTTACGTACCTTCATCTACTCCTTCAGCACAAACGAGACGCGCGGGGAGTTGTTACCGAGTGAAAATTTCCGCGTAAACAAAACTACCTTGACAAACACGGATCCTCCATTTATCAACTGCACCGATCGTGCGCCAAACGGAGCTGCCCGATTGGCCGAAGCTTCCCGAAGCAGCCGACGCGACGTCGCGCCGAGTGCGCAGGTCCACGCGAGTGGGTCGCCACGAGCGTGCGCGGCTAGGGAATTTACTGTCTGGCGGGAAACTTTCGAACGGCGAAATATCGGACTTATATTATCGCCTTCTAAATATTTCATACAAACACGTGCAAAGTCTGTATCAAAATGTTTAGGCTCGTCGAATTTACCTCTTCTAAGATCGCGATCGGCTTTCTTATTAGTCCTTTAAAAGCTTTAGATATTCTGTAGTTTTAACGTACCTCTTTTCTTGTTTTCCTCGCTTGCAATCAACTCCTCGCTTACGATCTTTCTTACAATTAGATCAATTTGAACTCCTTGGGGATTTTCGATCTTAATTTTTGGAACTTTGAACTTTTCAGGAGTTTCGATGTTTGGTTCACATTTGCTAGCCCCAGCTCCTTTGGATTCAGTATTTCTTTTCTCTTCGATTTGTCCGCTTATATTAATTCCACTTCCCTGGACGTTTCCGATTTTAAATTGTTGAATTTTACTTTTTGTATATTTTTCGGTTTTTAGTTGAAATTTTTCATTCTTAGTTTGTAGAGGCTCCTTCATACTGTTTTTCTTTTCTTTTTCGTGTTGCCTTCTTAGAATTTTAATTCCTTCAGGGTTTTCGATCTTAGTGTTTTGACAGATTCTTCCAAGTTCTTCGATTTTTGATTGAAATCCTCTGTCCTCAGTTCCAGGTTTTATAACATTGATCCTGTCTTTATTGACATTTTTTTTTGACAGAACTACTATAGAACTTGTTTAGCCTATCACAAGAATTCTCATTTCTTAACTCACTTTCCTTTAATACCTGCGTATCCTCAATTAAGTCCAGGACCATTTTTTCGGCTAATTGCAATGTCTGTTGATTTTTTTCGAGGGTTGAAGGTGAAACAAACCAAGATAGTCCCGCGA